GTCGTTGTAGTAGTTGTAGTAGTAGTAGTACTACTACTACTACTACTACTACCACTACTACTAGCAGCAGCAGAGGCCGCGACGGCGGCGGCGGCGGTGGAGGTGGTGGAGAAGTCGTCGTCGTCGTCGCGTAGTAGCAGAGGCCGGAGCCCGAGCAGTAGTATCAACAGTAGTCGTAGTGGTGGTAGCAGTAGCAGCAGCAGCAGCAGCAAAGTAGTAGTAGTAGTAGTCGTCGTCGTCGTCGTCGTAGTAGTAGTAGTAGGAGCAGCAGCAGCAGCAGCACGGGTAGTAGCAGTTGCAGTAGCAATAGCTGTAGCAGCAGTAGTAGTGGTAGTAGTAGTCGTCGTCTACTACTACTACTACTACTACTACTAGTAGTAGTAGTAGTAGTAATAATAGCAGTAGTAGTAGTAGTAGTAGTAGTAGTGGTTTTTGTAGTAGGAGGAGAAGCAGCAGCAGCAGCAGCAGCAGCAGCAGCAGCACCAGCAGCAGTAGTAGTAGTAGTTGTTGTTGTTGTGGTAGTAGCATTAGGACAGTAATAGTAGTATTGGTAGTAGGAAGAGTAGGTGCTGCTTGCTGCTTGCTTTCCCACCGCCAAGACGAGTACTATTGGGACCACAAGTACTATTGAAACCACCGCTACAAACACGAACAACTACAACAAAACAACCATCGTTATCACACTGGTCATGCCCCTCCATCATGCACATCGCGGCCAACAACCCCTTGAAGGAAAACTCAAGAACAAGCACACCGGTTTTTGCAGGCGAATCTTCCCTCTGATAGGATGAAACAATCAGAAACAACAGAGCAAAACCTGCCAATGAATAGAACCGACTAATAGAGAACATGGGGCAAGCATCTGCTCAAACAAGCCGAAGAAATCTGCCTCAACTTGAAAAGTCTTCCATCACGGCGCCCCAATCAACAGCGCGGCCAGAGTTCGGTGGTTCAATGGCACCTACACAGGCAAAAAAGACATCCGAAGCTTTGCATATTTACTGTGCTCCTGGAACATAAACTTCATGTGTCCATAATAGGAGGCAGGTGCTCGAGATCGCGTTTACCATAAATGCGTTTCGGCGTCTCGCAGCTTTAGCAGCTTGGGGTTGCCTGCGGCGCCCCCATGACTGAGCTATCCGAAAGTGAAGAAAAACCGCCAACACATCTGAAGGAAACAATGACCGCAAAGCATGAATTAATGAAACGCAGTTTGCAACTGAAAGCAACGGCCCGAAAGGCCTGTTTGGCCGATCCGGGTCGCACGCTTTGCTTGTCTTGTCCCGACGTTTCACAGCACTAAGACGGGATCTTGATTCTAGCTCAGCTCCGTGGCTGTGATATGCCCTAGGCCCTAAGCACAAGCTGGGGATTAGAGGCCTAGACTTTGTGCATCCAGCCTTGGGAAGTCGGCAGGGGCAGACCTGAACCCGAAACCCTCAGAGCCCTAATCACCTTAAAGCCTTAACATTGCTACAGGAAGTTACAAAATCATGAGAATCAAGCAATCAACGCCGGAAGCCCCACAGCGCCTAAAAAAGCACCCAACTTCAGCCATGCCCCGGAACCCCTTTTTTGGAGTGGCCGTCTGAAGCCGGGAGCCCTGAACCTCAGAAGCTGTCGCCGGATGTTCGTATAGTGAAGGCCCGAACAGAGACTTCAGAGTTGGTCAGGGTACTCTAAGGCTTAGGGAAAGCGTTCATGACGGGGTCTTCTTAAGTTACTATAAGGGGGTTACTGTATTTTTACCTCCTACCTAGCCAGGAGGAGCCCGCCCCTGTTACCGTTTCGGTGCGAGCGTAGTACAGGGTCGATTGTTCTCTTAGGGTTCTGGCTTGAAGCGCTTATTGGATTCGGGGTTTCAGGGTATTACTTACTACTAGTAGGTTGAAAGGGCATTTAGTGGATTCTAAACAGTTTACTGTAAGGCGAAGGCTCAGGGGTTTGAGGGCTCGGGGCCCTTAAAGAACCCTTGCGGAACCCCATAGAAACCCGATAGAAGAAACATTCCAGAACCCTACAACCCATTGATCTTGGCTGCTTCCTGCCTCCAAGAGCAAAGACTCCAAGATGGCAGTGCAGAACGGGCCTGGCTTGCGGATTCCATCTAGAATCCTTGTTAATTAGAACAGGACTTTGGTGTATAAGACTACAATATAATATAATAATCATGAGGACCCCTATTTACCCTAAAGGTTAGTAAAGAACTAATTAGCAACCATTCAGGCCCCCCTCTAGAAGTCTCCGGACTTGACGCACAGAGGTTCGGGGTTTGTGTGTAAGCGGGCAAGGGCTTGAAGCTAAAGGTTCAGGGGCTTAAGGACTCAAACAGGGTGCTCCTGGTGTTATTCTTTGCACAACACCCAAGGAGCAGGCACAAGGTCTTTAACCTGCGAAATCTCACTACATGCAATAAACAGCCACTACAAGAAGTGCGATTCGCTAGCCTGTGTCTTCTGCATAGAAAAGCGCGATCTAAAGCGGCCCCCGAGCCAGGTGTTCCTGACAATCGCTTTTCTGTGCTTTGTGGCCCTGGAGTCTTTGACACGCATACTGTGTCACTGCATGAACCCATCCCGACTCTAAAACCTTCAGTCTATAGAGATAGCAAGCTCTAGAGACTCCCCTTCGGCTTGGCCCTCCCTCCCTCTCTCCCTCGCTCCCTCTCGCTCTCTCTCTTCTTGCACAGGGCTTTCTAAACAGACAAGAAACACTGCTCACTACTAGCCAATTCACTTAATCTCATGCCACCACGGCACCCAAGTTTTTGCCCACGACGACCATTGGCACGTGCACCCGTCTCAGGCCTACTAGGCTGCTGGTCCTCGGCTGCTACGGCGGCCGAATTGTCACATTCTCCGGCAATGATACAGCACTTGTTGTTACAGCCGCTGCTGCTGTTAACTCACGGGATGTTATGATACTGTAGCAGCGACATGGTGGTCAAGATGATGATGATGACGACGATAAACACAATGACGATAATGATGATTGGATGACTGTGGCGGTGACAGTGATGGTGATTGCGATGAACATGACAGTGCTGCTGGTGAGGATGAAAATGAGGGTGAGGGTGACTCTAATGACGATGATAACGATGATAGTGATCGTGATGCCGCCGAAGCCGTCTGTTAGTTGCGGCAACGATGCTTACTAATCCAATCCCCGTTCATCCCATCGAAACAACCATTGAGATGAAGCATGGTCACAGGTATGACTAAACAGTAAGTACTGGTGACTATGACAAAGTGATGATAAAGGTGGCGGCAGTGCTTGTGGTGGGCGGTGGGGCTGTCGCTGGCTGGAGGTGGTGGTGGTTGTGGTGGTTGTGGTGGTGGTGGTGGTGGTGGTGGCGGTGGCGGCGGTGGGGGTGGTGAAGAGGGCCGTAGCGATGGTGGTGCTTTTTCTCTTCATCATCATGGTGAAAATGATAATGCCGACGATGGAGGTCGTGCTGCCGGTGCTCCTGGTCACAGTAGGGTTAGTGAGAATGACGATGAAGAAGATGATGATGATGACGATGATGGTGATGGTGATGGTGGCGATGACGACGACGATGACGACCCGTCGTCTGCACCCTCTTTGGCCAGACATCTTAAGCCTCAAGCGCTGTAAAGAATGCTTTCAGTCAGTTTTGCCCTCGGCAGGTTTCCGATTTCACAGGCTCTGCAAGGCCTTGAAGCGTGGTTGCTAGGCGGGCTTCAGCGATACAAAAGGGTACGTCCTGAACCGATGCCGAGCGTCAAACACAGTGTGAAGAGGCTGGAGACCAGCATTCCTCCAGGGAAGTGTGACCAGCGGATGGCTTTGATCTGCCGCAGCCGTGCATTTGCAAGCCTGGAGGTGTTCTGGCTTAGGCACTCGGGTTGTTCTTGTTGCCGACGACTGGCCCGGGTTTGCCAAGATTGGGGAAGGCCAACCTCGTACAAAGCAGTTCCATTGCTGCTGCAGGGCATGGCTTTAATCTGGACCGTCGTCGTCACCATCATCGTCATCATCTTCGTGATGGTCAAGCTGCACGAAACAACGAATAAACCGAATCCGAGTCAAGACAGTGCACGAATGAACACTATCGCTCAAACGTGACGACCTGCAGAACAAGCCTTGACAAACTGCTCAGCCACAAACAGCAGAAACATAGCAAATGCCGAGCTGGAAAAACTCCCAGTGCAAACAATCACGCGTGTTGGAATCTGCCACTCTCCGGCTGCTTGGCTGCTTGGGCCGTTCGTCATGTGACAAAACAACAACAACAACAACAACATGACAGTGCATAACATGCTCCAACATCATCTTCCCATGAATGCGCAAGTGCATCTATACAACCAGGCAGGTAAACAGTACTGAAAGATTATCTCTATTGTAGGGATGCGGGGAAGCAAGAACTTCAAGGTTGGCATATCCCGTAACCTTGTCCTGAAGCAAGCCAAAACAACTAGTTCTACTCCGTTCACAGGCTTACGTTTAGCTGGTTCCTGATACAGTGGAACCCGGTTCACCCAACGAGTACTCGTCCGCAGTTACATCCGAATACTACACAGAAGCCCTAATGTGTAGAAGAGTTTGCACTAGGATGATCACTAGGATGACGGCAGTGGCGACCACTACTAGTAGCAGTAGCAAAGTCGGCAGCAACACACACACACACAATATGCACCACACCGTGTTGAAACATCAGAATTCTTCACACTGGCTGGTTTTTCATCCCAGGTTTCCGGTCTGGCGCTTTGGTGGCATGCATCATCAAATGCAAGCCAAGCCACAGCGTGAATGGAATGCTTGCCAAGCACTGCAGCAGAACCTCACGAGCTCTGAAAAAACAGTGGACTTGATAGCTTCAATGATCATCTGTGGCGACACAAAGAGCATAGTAGTACTAGTTACTACAGTAGTTGTGACACTAGCCATTCAGACCTTACGTAACATTACAGCCATGAACGCCTTAACTCCGTGCAGTCGCGTGCCGAGCACCTTACAAGACGGAGAAGGATCAACTCCGTCGGGACCGATCATCAAGCCATGAAATAATAATATACTATAACACGGTGTCATATAGTGTCATATAACACCACAAAAACAACAATAACAATTCCAATGTAGTGTAATATACTATTTTTGTAGATCCTGGCAGTGCTCAACACTTTTGTCGCCGCTGGTCTCTGAGATCTCGATAAGTACGGCATTCGGCCACCCGCCGTCACAGGGAAGAGAGTGGCAAGATAGAGCCAGAGCCACCATCTCTCTGAGAAGTTTCAATATGTTCAATCACGGTAGCACCCCACTCGGTGGGGAGGTTTGCTTCAAAAGAAAGGTGTCATTGGGGGACTGCGAATGCTACAACCTGGGGTCCTCTGCCTCAGGCGGCTTTGAAGATATCTTGCAGCGTCCCCCGGCGCTGCGGATTCGCATGCAGCGCATTCCAAGAGATAGTAAGAGGGGAAGTGAATTTGAAATTTCTTCGCATGCGAAGAGAGACGCAGTCGGCAAGTGAATTAACCCTGCGTTCTGCATTGCTCAGAAGCCGAAACGTCTAAACGCCCTCAACCATGAACCTAAATCACTCGAGCCCTACACCACTAAGTCCTAACACCCCTAGAAGCCCATGCAAGCCTAGCCATCGGCGGAAGCCTGAAAATGAATCTTCGAACTTCCAGCAGTTTCCAACATGTCACAACGAACCTGATTCCGGGTTCCTGTCCATTGAAGAGTGTCTGCATTGCAACACGACTGGAAACCGTCAGAACATACTTTGTTTAGATGCCTCTCTCTGTTTGTGTGTGTGTGTTTGTGCATATTTGTAGGTCCGCATTCTGGCAACTTCAGCTTCTTGACCAGGACCCAGTAGTTGCGGAACCAGGGTGCATTCAAAGAGGGCCTTCAGTGACCTCTTGGCGCTCCGGAGAGACCGGAGCTAAAGTCAGAAATATCGGAAGCTGAATACTTAGACTAAGGCTTGGTGGTACTTTTGAACCTATAAGGTTTAATAAATGGTAACATTCCGTTCTGAGCTTAAAACGGAGTCTGGAAGAACCGTTCTCGCTCCAAGCCTTTCAGGCTCCAATATTTTCGAGGAATTGCTATTAGTAAGGCTTCGAGGTGAAGCAAAAAGTCCAAAGCACCTTGGAATGTAGCGCATAGCGTCAGGCTTCAACAAGCAAAGCAAAGGATGCATACATCTATTGGGTCATGAACCTGAGTCTTAACACCAGATCGATTTCGGCAACATCAATGTGTATCCAAAATCCTGCACCCGCGCAAGTGCAGCAACTTTTAAATTACTCTTCTCTTCCCCAGGGCATGAGGGGTCTGTTAAACCCCCCGACCAGTTGGCCCCCCAATTGTTATTGGGGCTTTCNNGCTTTCGGAGGGTGTGAAAAGTTGTTAAATTCCTCTCTCTCTCTCTCTCTCGCTCTCTCTCTCTCTCGGCCGCTGCATCGTCATGTGAGGCTGCAGGATATGTGCCACACCCTGAAGGAACGGCGTCACATGCCGAGTCACAAGGACACATGAAGCTGAGAGGCCGAAGCACAAGCCAGAATTTCATCTTTCACTCTATCCTGCCACGGCTCTGGAATGGAAAACACTTCTACCAACCAGGCTGCCATGCGGCGGCTCACTCTCTGGATGTTGGGTTACTGACTACATATGCAAGAGTTTCTCAAGCAATTGTAGGGACATTGCGGGGACCATGCAGCAGGAGTGGCCTTGACAGACTTCTGAGAGCTGGTTTCCTGTAGCAACTGACACTTCCCAACGAATCCAGACCCACTGAGAAGGCGATGCAGCTTGCAGTGGCAAGTGCACAAGTGAGCTGTCAGCAATCCTACGACACTCTGCAGGCAAACACGTTGTTCCCTCAACGCCCGTCTCGCCTCATCTTAAGCTGGCCAAAGACATTTATAATGCCTGTGCCTTGACGAAACACTCCTGATCATGAGTCCCTACTGGAAGTTGAGCACTCAGTCTCTGGAGAGGTCCTCCATCAGCTGCATGAGCTGATTCGCCGTGGTAGGGCGGCATCGCCCGGCGAGTCAACAAAGATCGGAAATTCATCTTAGCACGAAGCAAATGCTGCTGCAGCTGCCAAACCAGTGCGCGCGACAGCCGGCAACCCTCACCGTGGGGAAGAGCTCGTTTTGTGAGCTCCTCTTCGTCTGCCAGCAAGGCGAAGATTGGACTTGCTTTTGGTGAACGACCCCACCGCTGCTTCAGTGGCTTCTGTGTCACCCTCAGGAGGTCTGCCAGGGACAAGCCTCGCAGCTTCTTGCGATCCTCCTTCATCCGAGCAGGCTTGTGTGTCATGTGGCAGAAGTCACAAGAAGCGCCTTGCGCACAGTATCCTTTAGCAAATCGCACGCAGGGTCGAAAGCAAAGAACCGGATTCAATGCTCCCGATACTGGCCCAACCCTTCAGGCCTCTTTGCATGTCCAAATGCTCGGTAGAGTCAGCCTGATTGTAGGTCGGTCGGAATGAATGCGGTTCACTGGCAGTCCGTCGAAGGGCTTGAGGAACCTTCGTCCACAAACGCCGGAAGGTAAAGCGACGTCGGATCTGCATTCTTCGTGAATGCGGAGCCCTACGGCCACCGGATGCACCAGTATGCAGGTCTACTTGAGCCTGTGTTGCTTGCCGGTCGGGAGCCAACAAAATCTGCAGCCACACACACACACACACAAACTTGGAAAACGAAATGCTTTCGCCAATGCTCAGATAAAGCAACCTCAGACTGCACAAGGGGGCAGCACTAGCGTTGAACTGCGAAAACTTGGTAGGCCACAGCAGTTACAACGCGCCAGCCGCCCCCGTTGTTCCTGCAAGCTTTGCGAGACTAGACCTCTCCAAACATCCCTAAATTCAGAAGGCAAGGTGCAATGGTCCAAGGGTAGGGGATCTCTGCAGAGAGCTGCTTGTTCAGGAGTGTCAGGGAGACCTGGGCCCCGTAGGCGTTCGGAGAGCTTTTTGCTTTCGGGCTTCGAAGGTCTATAGCCTTAGGCTCTAGGGTTACAGCATCTTGCTATGTTGGAATCCGTGCTGGCAGTCTTTCACATACTTCCAGAGCATGTTGTGTCGTGTCTAGCAGTTTGCAACCCTTTTTACAACTGGAGCTCTAGACCCTCCCTAGACCCTAAACTATCGTCAAAGCAGGCCCTCCCGGTGGGATGGTGCGATGCGAGAGAGTCTATAAACAGCGACCAAACAAGCTCGTACAATAGAGCTACGCTTTAAGGTTCTGGGTATCGCCACCAATACTACCGAGACCATTATCATAAACGTACTGCTTGCGTCTCTGAAACTGGCAACAAACAGGTCACACACACGTATAAACATCTAATTCTTCTCGGACAATTCCGTCTAGGCAAGCAGAAACTGCAGGTGGAGCTACCCTCAAAGGACTTATATGCTGTATGGTTCAGGATTCTGAAAAAGGACTCCTCCATGGCTTACAAAACTAGTGCTGTGATATAGAGGCTTGAATAATAAGGATAGGGTGGCGGGGTATAGTATACCATGCTTGTAGTTAGGAACCTTGGGGTAGACCATTACTAGTTGTTCACGCCCCGATTTTTGCATGATCAGGCGTCAAGCGACACCCTGATTAGCACACCCCGCCCCAGGCTAGGGAGGACAATGCGGTCCTATGTTGTAAGCCTCCGCAAGAGAGCAAGTGCTGGCCTGTCAAAACGACTCGACCGCTGCCCTGACTGCCTGGATCAGCCGCCTACTTGCTGAATCCATATAAAACCCTGAACCCCAAAATCCAAAACCCCTCTGATCTTATGGTACGCCTATTACAATACCCTTATTGTCATACCCCCGTTTATGGTACCCTTAAAACCTCGAAGTGCCGTCGCATCCCAGATGCCGAGGTCACGGAGTGCAAGGCGAAAATCGCCGGCAGCTGTAGATCGAGCATGGCTCTTGGCTAGGTGTTTCTGGGTTTCGGGATGGTTGGTTTCCACCCCTTAAGTACGGCTCGTTTTAGGGCTTAGTAGGGCATTTTTAAGACTTTGGATAGGCTCGGAAAGGGTCCACAAGCAAGGAACATGCCTCAAACTCTTGGGGGTTGCATGAATTTATCGGCGCTCTTCTCGTGCTTCTGCGGATCAGAATATCGAGGGATTGGGGTTGCAGCGTTTGGGGTCATTGGGTTTTATGCAGGCTTGACGGGGCTTCAGCATGGCCTTAACTATAGACGGTACTGCGGGCATGCTCGAATCACTTAGAAAGCTGGATCCGCTTTAGACAAACACTGAAGAATGCTACCTTCAATGTTGCTTTGTCTGTGTGACTAACTGTATTTCTCAAACTAAGCCTTCCCGGCAATCGCCCAAGAATCCTGTTTGGCTGCAAAGACAGGACACTTGCTCACATCTGTCTGCTGCGGCAGAGAATGAAACCATGCCAGCCATGAGTCTCGAACTACTCTAGCAGCTCTAGCAAAGACCCGAGCGCAAAACCAAGGCCCGAGCCCGAAACAGCACTGGCTTCGGGACGTATCTCTGAGACCCCACGACTCGAAAACTTACAGTAAGTTGGAGATAGCCTTAGGAGCCCTCAGATGAGCCACCGACCATCCCAAGTAGACGGTATGAATGACCTCGAGTCACCGGAAAAAGCTCTGGCGCCAAAACAGACAGCATGACACGACCACCGCCAGCACCCTAATCACCATCACCGATACCATCACCGTCCGCCAGAAGTCGCCGCCGCCGCCCTAGCAGGAAGAGGAAGGTATTTAAATATGCGAAGCTTGAAGATACGGAGACACCATGATCATACGCAGTCGGTGTGGGCGAGCAATCCGCATAACTGAAATGGGGAAATGCAGCTACTGGCAACAGCATCTGGCATCAGCAAAACACCGGACATCCAAACTCTCCCAACGACTACAGGCCCTCAACCATAAAGCCTAAGCTTCTAACGCGGGAAAAGGCCCTAAACCCCAACCCGAGATTCAGAACCCCTAGAACCCAAGCCCTAAGCTTCCTAAACTTTTGGAGCCCGGACCTTCTTTTCGAACCTGGGCCCAAAAGCGTAATTAAGCTGTAAACCATCCCCAAGATTCTCATAGCCTGAATCCTTCTCAGGATATCATTGGGGCTTCGCACATATGATTGGAACTCAGGTAACTTTTGTCTTCTAAATACTTCTGATCCCAAATACCCTTCCTAGGCTACTTCATAACCGCCCATGAACCCTTAAACCTTATAAACCCTTGAACAACCAACCCTTGAACCGCAAACCCCTTCTTTTTGAAGCGGGCTTGCCTCGTCACCCGGAAGCTCCCTCTGCCCAGAACGTGTGTCCAAGCAGTGGAAAGCACGCACCACCAAACCCTCAACCCCGAACCCTCGAAGTTGAAAGCCGAAGAGAAACCAAATCAAGGGCTCTTAGGTCACTGCGACCCCCAGCCGCTTTGCCAAGGCCCTCTCTGCAAGGGCCTCAAGCAAGCAAAGTTCAAGGTTGCGGGTTTCCGGTTCGGGGTTGAATGGATGCGGCTCGAGGCTCAAGATTGAAGGTTGTTAGATTAAGGGTTTAGGGTTTAGGGCTTAGGGCCTGTAGCTCAAGCCTAAGAGTTTTGGGTGTCCTTCGTGTGAGGGTCTGGGAGAAAACGGACCTTGATAGTTAGAAGAGGGTCTTCGGGGTATTCTATAGCGACTGTAGAGGAATCGGGAGATTGTACTAACTAAGTCTTCAGACATCTATACTACACTGCTTCTTGAGGTTTGGAAATTGAGTTTGGGCATGCATTAGCACAAGTTCGAGCTGGGGTGCTAGCACTGCACAAAATGCCTCATAGCCGGTGCTATGAGGTGGGCGATGACACAACTACCTGTCCTCTTTTGGCAACAGAAAGCCTGAAGACATATACCCTGTTTGCTTAAACTTTTGCTTGTGCCACATCGTGGCCTAACTCCCTGAAATATTTCTGCCTGCTCTTACTGAGCGGAAGGTTCTCAAAAACCAGCCTGCGACTGCCTTGTTGCGAGCTTCTGCACCTACAACTCTCTGGTTCTTAGTAGGGAATGGGGGAATGGATCCCTATGATAATTCCTTAACATCCCTTTTTGTAGTCCCCATAACCCAGTCCCCCATTCCCTACTAAGAACCAGAGAGACAATCTGAGCTTTAATCTAAGACTCGAAGCAAGCCTGAACTCTATCCTCACAAACCCTGTGAGCGTCATAGTCTGAACGAAACTCAAAGCGTGGACATCTCAAAAACTACCACTACTGCTCGTAGTAGTGTAGTAGTACTATTACGACAGAAACCCTCTCCAACCTCTTTAACCTTCAACCAGCTCTGCACGTACCCCGATACCCTAAGCCCTTGGACCACTTTAATTCCTAGAGAGCCGGGAACCCATCCTCTGGATCTCCATGGGTGGGGACCTGAGCTGCGACCGCGAATCGCCAAGAAAGTGCCGGCTTTGAAGCTTCGGGGCGAGAGTCGAGGCTTTACGGCTTTACGGGGCCACCGCTGTGCCTTCGAGGTCTAAGGCTTCTGGCAGCTACCCTGGCAGGACAAGCCAGTCAAGGATGGCTCTCTCGCATGGTTTTAGGACTTATGGGAAGGATTGTCGGAGTATGGAGTTGAGGTGTAGTGTAGAGGGCTTTGGGCCGAAGCCTTTCGAGTTTCGGGTCTTTTGCTTTGCAGGTTGTCAGGTATGTATAGGAACCAGGGGCCCAGCTGCAGCTTCCTTCGGGGTGCTGCAGTCGAAAACCCTCAGCCGGATCTACCGCGCGAGCCGCGACGACCCAAAGCAATTGCAACATCGACGAAAATCATGGTTCAAATGACAAATGGTACTGTCACAATTAGCACTACAGCAATGGCATTCCTAGAAATGCTTAACTCTAAACATGACGACTTTCGAATAAAGCGACACAGCAGTTGCTAGGAAACAGAAACAGTATGGGTACACTTCAGGGCTGGAGAAGCTTGAAGCCCGTAGAAACTGCGTGGCAACAACTGATTCGGGAAAGGTTGGGATTTAGGATTTGGGGCTTTTATTCTCGCCAGGGACTACTTTGGGGTTGAGGCCTCTTGGTTCAGGTTGAATATATTTCCACATGCGTTTGGAGATTCCGACAAGTAGAGGTCCCTCAGTCGTCGAAAATCCCCCAAAGAAGTATGCAGCTCGGACCCGACATCGAAGCACATTCATCGAAGGATCGGCTAGTGCTTTTAAGGGCCTCACCATGTACTGACATTCCTACACAAGCAGCACAAACCCATTGACGACAACGGACGTCTCAGACATCTCAGCGAGGGCCATCGGGGAAGCGAACATATAAGAGCCAAGGGCCAGACTCCATCTGTCAGGAGGAGTATGTGACCTCGGGCGGTTCCACGATGGCTAGCATGTCAGGCACCTGATTCTTCCACTCCTTCATGGCCACTGTCTCTCTTTATAATTGTCCAGCCACTTTTGCACTTCGCTTTGGTGCATCCAACCTGCACATGAACTATGCGATGCGGAAATCTACACCCACCCTGTACATGTTGGGTGAAATGGATTTGCGCGGGACTTTGCCACGCCATGTAATTTCCACAGCTCTGCTTCCGGACATGCCTTCCATGGAACGCAGCAGTTCGGTAGGTTCACATTGATATTCCTCCTTTCAAGGCATGTGCCGGGTAACCCCAAAGAAGAGTCCTTATCAGGTTCCCTTTTTTAGACTGTAGTAAACAAATATACTCTAAAGGAATCCTGAATCCCATCTATTTACTATAGTCTCAACCATTTTAACGCTCCAATCCTTGGACTCGTGGTTGTAGAAGTGCAGCGTCCCGCCCTCCTAGGTCCCCAGTAGCCCCCAAGAAAGGTTCACGTTCTCCTATCATGGCGTTTTTTGTAAGGAAACCCCAAAATGGCAAACGTGTAAAAGGGTACTACACCCTAAAACCTGAACCCAAAACCATTAAAAAAAATCGGTACTACTGGGAGACCGAGCCGCTCTTATTGCCGGCACCAGCGGCTCGAGGTTTTCCAGAGCTTGGAACTTGAGGAATGCACAGATGCGATCAAACCGGCCAAGGCCTTCAACATCTAACGAGCTGCCTGAGGGATTTGACCATATGATGTATGGTGAGGTCTCAGCGAAAATTATGTCATTCAAACAGGGCACTGCGTTTAATACCGCATGAAAAGCCTCGAAAAAAGAGCACTAAGCTATGGAGCTGCGGCAAAGGCTGGAGACCTTGCCGTCGAGTTTGTTCGCCTTGATGTTCGCCAAAGCAAACTCGTTTTTCACCTGGGTTTCGCGTGTGGGGCTTAACCCATCCAGGATTTTCGGGCAGAGAGGTCGTTATTGAAGCACGGAACTGTTGTGGCCCGTCCATTAAAGCCCTGAAGCTGGAACCAAATCCGCGCCCCATTAGCTAGCACTGAAACAGAAAAAGCATGACTGAAACTGAGCCGTGAGGCTCCTATAACTTACCAAGTCCTCAACTGCGCTAAACCCTCGACCTTCAGTCATTTCGAAGACTAGACCTCTTAGGGAACCCCTGAATCCTGTAGCCTCTCGAGCCCCAAACCCTTCAAGAAGGCCATCCAAAATCCCACAACCTCTTCCTAAAACCACACCACATCTTATAAACACTTTCTGAAGCACCCTGAAGCCCATAACGATGCTTCAACACCCTGAATCCCAGAAACCGCCTTTTAGAAAAAAACGCCCGAAAGGCCCGCCTCGTCGGGCTCCAAAGCCACGACCTCTCTGCAGGCGGTGCGGGCTGCCAGCAAGCAGGCTGTCAGACCGATACCCGAGCCCAACACCTCGAGAGTTTTTTGGCTTAGGGTTTAAGGTTGCATTTTGTTTGCCTTTTGGGCGTCGGCTTGGGATTGTTTCCTCCTGCGAGTGTTTAGGGTCCAAGAGGGATTCAGCACTCACAACTGGGACAAGCCGGCCGAGGTCTACAGTTTAGAGTTTAAAGGTGTGATTTAGAGGCCTTGATAAGAGTTGTGAAGGCACCTTTCCGGGAACTATCGTGTCCTAGAAGGCGTTGGGACATAGTCGCGGTTGATGGCGTATAGAGCCGTTGCGACATCAAGTAGCACTGTTAGTTACTTGTTGCGCTGAAAACGTACGGTCTGTCCTTAGGGTTCCTATAGTCCTATTAGAAGCTATAAGTAAGGCAGAAGATGCTCCAAATCCTGTTCCAAGTAATGAAGTATACGACCTTAAAAGAACCCCTTTCAAGGTTGTTGAGGGTGGGGAAGGCTTGCGGCCTGCGGCGTTTAGCGTGTGGGCATTGCGGGGCCTGAATATTTGGAATCAGGTCCTTGGGGAACAGACTACGTATTAGGAGTTTGAAGGTAATTTAAAAAGGGATGTATTTTAGTAGGGCTCCGAAATTCTGTTGTTTGGGTTGATTTTAAAGCTTTGAGGCTAGGTGAAAGAGAACACGGCTTGAGCTCAGTGCTTAAGGCTTGCAGGGTTTGGTTGTTTTGGGTGTGGGGCTCAATAGGCTCACTATATAAGCGTTTCGGATCTGGTGTTGCTGCAACCAGGTCTTAGGAACGCATGTCCGCAAACCCACAACCCCCCAGTTCGAACAACTACTCAGATCAGACCGTCGTGGCTTGGATACTGCAGATTGACGGCTGAAGTTCCACCACAAATTTAGCTCTTGTCCAGGGTGTGCGGCAAAGACAAACCCCCATAGCAGGGTCGTAACTGGAGTATGAGCTTGGGGCTTAAGGATTTATAAAAATCGTTTGTCAAGAGGCGAACATGGTTCTAAGAACATCAGAGGAACGAGGACGCGCTCTCCAGGCTGCACCAGCTGACAGATGCGCTCCCGCTCCTGGGCTTTGCGCAGGGACTATACAAGTGTTTATGAGTTTTTTCTGTATATTAAAGTAGTAGCGATGAAAAAATGATTCGGAACATCCAGGGCTCATGTATGCCACCCTGGCTCTTGCTCAGACGACTCAGGCGCCGGTCCAGGTCCACATTGAAAGCCAGTCCAGCCTCTTTGTACCTCGGTTGTTCGCGGCTCAGGCCTACCGAATTTAACAGAATTTCATCGCCGCAGAACACGACGGCCGCAACAAGAAACGCGGAAAGTACCTCACCACCAAGGCCCAAGTCACGTGATGTTCAGGTCGGGGTCACCGGCCACGTAGCGCACCCCGACCCTTTCTTTGTCGTGCCCGGTGCCCACGGGCTCGAAGATGGTTACGCTGCGGACATGCGGCTGCTTTAAGAGCTCCTGTGCCTGCGCAGCCTCGTCGAGCCCTTCCTGTGGGCGGTATAGGGCTTGATTCAGGATATGGGATTTCAAGCGTTCTACTGTCATCTATGCTGGACACGTTGTGGGAGTGCCGAGACGGACGCTCGGACATGCTGCGTATGATTCAGGCTCTTTCCGAAACTTGTGATGATAACCTAAAGTAGTCGATTGTTGCGATTACAGAAATTCTGGCACATACTGCTCATGCTCCCAGAAACCCGAAGTTCCTTTGGTGTGAGGACGGCCACATCCACCATCATCTTGTGTTTGGGCCACAGCTTCTTCTTCTCACATCGAGTCAGTCCTGGCTCTTCGGATGTTCAGGATCTGAGGCCTTAAGTTAAGGGGGAATTAGCAGGGCTTTGGGCTGCGAGGTTTCTGAAATCTGAGCTCGCATCCGCAATTGCGCATATTCAAGGGAGACCACGAATCAGAACCCTGAGCCCTCCATCTCAGGATGCAAAGGACAAACCATAACTGAGAACTCATCCTCCGGCATACCTGAAATCTGAGACCTCCTGAAACCTTTGAGGACATGGAACCGACACCTGAACAAGCAAAAGCACACAGCAGCCACATCCTAACATGTGACCCCACGTCCCTGAAAACACACTCAACCAGTCAGGTAGAGCAAAACTTCTTGCGGAGGCTGAAAACTATCCAAAACCCTCTGTAGGACAATATTGCAGGAATGCGAAACCCCTGTAAAGGTCGCACGACTGAACATTGGGGCATAGTTGAGCTGCTTAGGAAGATGAATATCGCCACAAGTCTTAGACGTTGTTACGTATTCGTGAGAAACTGTAAAATAGTAAAATACCATGTAACAACAAAGGAGAGAGTTGCCAAGAGCTTTCCAAGAAGCGTGGCATCGGACGCCGAAAGCGGCGCACTTCCTGCGGATCGAACCCGATCTTCCCATCGTACCTTCGCAAAGTGGGGTCTTTTGGGTATTGAGTTTAGGGTTTAGAACGGTGTAGCGTCGAGGGAGACGGAGTGGGGCTTGGGTGATTTTAAGGCTCAATCTCGAAGCCTGCATCATTGGTAACACTCTCTCTTGGTGGCCGGGGCTAGAATATGTCCCCAAACTCTGTTCTAGTGATCAAGGCCCCCTTTCTTAGGGTGTAGGGTTTGGCGCTTGTGTCTTGGTTTTTATGGATGCCTCAAGGGGATGCGAAGAGGCCCACGGAATCCCCAAAACCTCAGGGCGAAGCACAGCCAGCCAAAGGCTCCGTTGCAAGCCTTGCCAAACTCCGATGAACCCTAAACCCCAGAACCCAAACGGCAAATTTCAGAGCTCTGCCCTGAAATCCTAAGCCTAAGCTCTACCCCTATCAGCCTCAAGCCACCCCCCAGCTCCAAACCCTAAACCCTTAGAAGTTCAAACACTCAACCTCCAGCCCCAAACCCAGTTGGAACCACTAAGACCCCTTTAAATCGATAACAAATCACAAAACCCTATAAAGCTCTTCTAGCGAGGTGCCGGTTCGATGTACCTTGGTGCAGCGCCCAAGGGGGCGTCTCAGCGGCAAAGTCTGTTGCGTCCAGGGTCTCTCCTTTCTCGGCGGCGTCGGCGAACCTCGCTGGGGTTTAGGGCTAACGGCTGTGATTTCCTACGTCCTCGTAGCGGTTTTGGGTTCAGGTGCTTCATAAAAGTGATGAAGGTTTGCAGCGCCTTCTCCATCATCTTTGGTCTCGAAACGGAAGCGTGCCGGGTTGCAAAAGATGGTCAGGGATAGGGTACGCCCAATTCTTACTCAGGGCAACTATAATCTCAACTGCAGCCCTTAAAACACCATGCTTCTCCAAGTACAGACACTTACTTCCTGATCGAACTTGCAGGTGCGCCCGTTGTTGCGAGGCTTTGTCATCGTCTCTGGAAAAGCATGCTTGATAAACCGTTGGTAACTATAGGGCACCCTGTCTATAGCAGAATATACTACAGGGCCCCACTCCGACTATTCAGCAACCAAGCCCCGGTGTTATGATCTAGGGTTTCAGATTTAGTGCGCAAGACCTCCTATGCGGATTTTGAAGGATTAAGGGTCGGATAAGGACTCGGATGGTTACAGAAGTCTCAAGAATCAGACCTGCGCGTCGTCTCTGTTCTCTTCGTAGTTTTTTGCCTCTGCAGTATCATAGACCCCAGAACGAGAAAATGACTGGAGAAGGTCCCAACATAAACCTTGCACAACCTCAGTAGTACGCCTACCAGAAAAATGAATGACAGAAAAAGAAGAAATCCATCCAGCCCGTCTGCAGATGCTGCACTCTTCCCCCTAAATCGCGAACCATTTCTGAATCCGGAAAGCTTCAACCCCCAAACTTCACCAAATTAAACCAAAAACCCTAAACTCCTAAATTCCACGACTCTGCTGAAGCCCGGAAGCTTGTCGAAATCGATCCAAGTCCTCCACCTCGCGCCAAATGGCTCCTTGGAGGCATCCGAACTCCAGGGAGCCCCGAAAATAATCTAGGGTTCCTTTATAGGATGCTGTAGCGGGGTTCGAGGCATCCGGGATGCTCTTTGGTTCCTCAGATCTCTACTGCACGGCGCCCTAAACCCTCAGTTGCAAGGGTCGGGAAGCCTGCCAGCAACCGGGAACTACTCACTCTCCTTAATTATATATATATATATGTTTATTTATATATATATATAATTATATATATATATATATATTTATGATTAAGAAGTACCTGCACCATCAACCTAGACGTTAACCCTAAGCCCCAAGCTTAAATGGAGAAATGGGTACAACATGGCTGCCTAGGCTCATAAAAGCGGTCCCGTCGCCCGAGAAGGATGCAGAAGCTATGCTCATGCTCTGCCGCGATCCCATACCTGTGTTTTTGTGGATTTTAGCGTTCTAAAGTAAGGATTCTCGATGGTTGGGATTCAAAACTTCAAATCTTCAGACTTTTCGAAGTTCCGGGCTTTAGGTTTCGAGGTTGCCGGTTAGGGCCTGGGGGCTTCTTGGTTCATGGCCGAGGCGGTGCGGCATAAAGGCTGCAATCGATATGGCTGCCCAACTGGGTCCGAGGTGCATGGGCAATTTGGAGACTAAGAGGCGAGCAAGCTGCAGCACATCGTCGTGCCTCGGTATACTGTCCCGCGAGAGTCCAGAGTTGCGCTTGTCCCACACGGGTGAATATGTCGCAGCTTTGATCTCCACGAAATCACACCGCGAGATGTTGATCAGGTCGGCATAGCCTTGACAGGCCTCATCGTTCTCAGCCACGCCTTTGAGCACCGTCATTCGACAGACCGTCCTCGCAGGGGGCACGATCGAAAGGTCAAGAGGGCAAACGCTCAACCAAATGCATCGGATGCGAGCTTGCAGAGTGTCCTGAACCAACAGAACTACGGCCATGATATCGAGGAATGACGGTGACCCTGCTAATTTTCAATGTGGCGATCATTATCATGAACCCAATGCTTCTGATGATTGGGGTGGTAGCGACTTCGATGACATGCTGACTACCACGACCGTATCACAATGAGACACGGTGTCCTCTGTTTCGGATGCTTTTCGCGCAGAACAGCCAGAGACCTTCGCAGACGATCCCAGTAGTCTCGGAAAAGGGGACGACCGACATCCCGCAAGGTTGTGGCATCGGGTGCATCCAAAGAGACGTACCTGGGCCGGCGTGCTTAAGACTCCCCGAGAAAGAATCTGAGACCAAGCATTGGAACCCAGGAAACAAACTGTGCACGTGGCCCGCAGCTCTTTGAACTGCATGGCACTTAACTGAAGACATGCAACCTTCATGATCAGATGTTCAGGAAGATGTATGCGTGAGGTCTCTCTAATGTCAAGATGGGCTACTCCGCACAATGGGCAGCTACTTTCTTGGTTAACATGCCATGTGCTTGGTGCGTTATCGCGGCGGTAGTATGAAGTGTCGCCTGCATGGTGTATCGCCCATGTGAATCTTAAAGCTTACCTGCATAGCTTGTGCAAAACGCAGCCCACGCGTTTGCAGTTGGAGCCGGGGCCGACTAAACTTAAACCCAGAGTTTCATGCCGAGGTGCAGCTGTGTCACCCAGGGGAGCTCCGCAAGTTGGTCCGGGAATCTGTCCCAAGACATTCGGGGGACGCGGAAAGTTGAGGGTTTGGATGAAAGGTCTTGTGGTGCTTCGTGGGGAGGGGCAGCTGTTTCAAGCGAGAGCCAGAGAGACAAACAGAAAGAATGGGGGGACACAGACACAGAGAGAGAGGGAGACATGGAGAGAGAAACGGAAAAAGTCACGGGGCGTAAGGAAGAATTTCGAATGTTCAATCTTTAGCCAGGAAGCTGTCCGTTGGTCACGAAGAAAGTGGAGATGCGGCGCTTGTGCAGCGACGACACGAACTCCGCCACTTTGGGGTACAGCACCTGAGGGGTCCCGCAAGACATATGCAGAAAAATCCTGGAATAAGGGTGAATTCTAGGCGTGTCGTCAAAGGGTCGTGGAATGAAGGTTCGCGGCGCTGGCGCACTGAAGCAGTGATCAAGTCGCCGAAGCCTCAAAACCCTGCATCCCGAGCCACAAATCCTATGCCAGACCTTATGGAGGGAATCGGGCTACGGCCTCGGGCCATGCCGGCCAGAGCGCCTACACAACACCCCATCCCACATCCCCCGATAGGCAAAATCGTGAATCCAAGGGCCCCTAGTACTGCCCCCTTCTACAACCTGACCCTTATTATATTGTGGAATCTAAATCAGCCGACCCTTGTAAAGCCTGAACCCTCAATGGCAGTCTGCGTCAAAACCCAAACTCAACGTCTAGGACAGCGAGTTTGAATTTCTGTGAGGTGGTTTTATAATTATATACACACACATACATATACATACATACTAATATGTGTATATCTATATATATATATACATATGTGTGTGAGAGAGCCCAAGCTCAAATCCTACATCAGCAGTACATGTCAGTGCGTGTGTATATATATTTATGTTTACATGGATTATAAACCTTCTGGTTCATCAGGACCGAAAGCAGTAAATATGGTTCTGGTACATGAATCATGTAGGGCTATGAAGGCAAGATGCCGGTTCCCCCACCAGGGACAGAGCCACATGGCGCACCGAACGCGCTGCGAGGACGCGGTCAGGAAGCGCGTGCCTAGATCTGAGCACTTCTGAGACCAAGCTTAAGGCTCTAACTTCACAAGTTTACTTTTCGAGGTGTAGGACTGAGTGAAGAAGCGAACATTATGTTAAACAATAATCCCGTGGGGGCAGTATATATATATAATGTTAATAAGGTTTTGTAGTAATCGTGGCCAGAGTAGATAAGCCTGAGAAGAAAAAATAGCAGCAACTTTTGAATTGATAAACCATTAGGCCTAACGGCCTACGGAGAGAGCGAGCGAGTGAGAGGGAGAGAGAGAGACGGAGAGAGCTTGGGGCTGAAGGGCTTTAGGCTTAGGTTCGGAGAACCTCAGAGTTTCAGGCAAGGGTTGAGGTTGTATTGCTCCTTTAAAAAGGCTACTATAGAATTTAGGATCAAAGATAAACCTTTCTGCGTACACACACGACATGGTTTAGGACCAAAGTTTTTTTAGGACCAAAGTTTGGGACTTGGGGTTTTGCTTTAAGTTTAATCACGGCATCTTTCTGAGACGTCAGGCTTGCAAGAGAATGCCAAGCGTGGCCTCCAAACAAACATTATAGTACAACCCGAGCTCCTAAAGCGTATATGCCCGAACCCCACGCCCCCCTGGCGGGGCAAGACACACACCCACACACACACACACACACAACCAAAACCCTAAAGCCCTAGGCCAAAAACCCCGAAGTGTCAACCCATAATGATACATCACTCAAACCCCAAAACCCACCAAGCCCAGAAGCCATAAATCCTAAAGCCCTCAAGCCCCGAAACCCAAACCCTTGTCACAAACTCTAGACTCTAGACCTCAGCGTAAAGTCCGAAACCACTGAACGCTCGAAGTCCCTAAATGCTGCGGACAGCATTCCCTAAACCCTTTTTGGCTGCTGGACTCAAGTCTAGCCAGACTACAACCTGCAATCCTAAACCCTTTCTGCAGCCGGCTTCTCTCGCCCGGAACTCCTCAACCCTTTTTGAACCCAGACTCTGCTGATCAGCTGGGAAATGAAACCCTCAACCCTCGGGCCAGCGTGCGGGGACTCAGAGACCTCCTCCACGAGTTCCAGGTGGTTGCCTCGGCCGCAAAAGCCTATATAGGTCCCTGCACTCAGTGCTCCTTAGGATCAGGGAGCATATTCCTGAAAGGGCTCCTTCTGAAGAAAATTTAACATGATATATGATAGAACAGAATCTGAAGTCGTATGGTATACTCAAGTATAATAGGAATTCTGGAGTCTCGGGTCTCAGCACGCATAGGCGCAGCAAGGTGTCAGACCACATCGAGTTGTCAAAAGTGCCCGGATTTAGGGCCTAGAGTTTGGGTTTTGCGAAGTGGCTTTGATGAGTTGAGGCCTGAGGTCTGGAGTTTACTGGCTCAAGGACTATGGGACCAGAAACACTGCCGGAGTGCGGCCGTTTCGAAGGGTCTCCTTACGGCTTACGGAAAAAACTGTGCTTTCACGTGGCTTTGGCTTTCGTCTGCATTGCCCACAGCTCCTGACCCCTGCAGCTAGGGTGCGGATGCTTTCCTGCACGATCCAGTCGGGGTCGTCCATCTTGAAATCCCAGGAGGTGGCCACCGGGTTCTCGTGATTCCGCCAGCAGAAGGTGCACTTGTTGGCACAGGCCACGGATGGCGTTGCTTCCATGCACTGGTGCGAGTTGATCCCATAGAAGGTGTGCTTGTAGCATTGGCCTTGGCCTAGGATGGCATTCCGAGTCCAGCGGCACTGCTTCACAGCACTGTGGCTCCCCACGAGGCGATAGCCGCTCTTGGCCATGTTCTCGCGGTTCTTCGGCTGCATCATCTCCGGGCTCTGCTCGAGCTCCTCCTCCTCCAGCTCGATCGGGGCCACTTCCGCCAGATTCGGGAACCTTCGCAACACCATCTCCACGATGGCATCGTGACCGTTCTCGCAGGCCCAGGCCAAAGGGGTCATGCCAGCTGAGTCTTTCACCTCCAGCGCTCCCTTGGCCTCCGGGAACCTGGGCCGCCAGCTCGTATCTTAAACTCTCTTGGAAGATCCACCCCCTCTGCCTTCAAGCACTTGCCCTGCAGTCTGCCCTTCGCCTCCACCTTGTAGAAACAGTCGCTACGGAGGTCTGAATACATAGCAATGATAGACATGCCCTTGTCGTCCCAAAATGCTAGTACTATAATCTGCCCCCAAGCACTGCATTCTAGTTCACAATGCCCCGATTTTTCAACCAGATGACATCGTGCACTTTAAACAACCTATAAAAACTCCATTACAACCTAGAGGACCGTCCGCCGCAGTAGCAAGCTTTCGAAGGGCATTTATTGTTGCAAGAGCACTTGGGCGGTGGTAGATGATAGAACACTCATATAGGGACAATAAAGGGAGACGAGTACTGATCGTTTAGGGCTCTATATTAAGCCCTGAGACACTGCAAAACCTTCTTAAACAACTGTAGAACCCTGGTAGAGTCCTACAAATCCCTATGAAGCCCTATCAGAAGGGGATGCTGTTGCCAAGTCTTCTGATTCAGACAGCTTTATCCGTATATCTATATATCTAGATATCTGTATATCTGTGTATCTGTATATCTGTATATACCTACAATATCTATTTATCTGTGTATTTCTATATTTATAAACACATAAAAAAAACATATGCAACTACACACACATACGTACATACATACATACATACATACATACATACATACATACATGCATGCATACATATACATATACATATTCACCCAAAGATCCGAGCAGCTGCTCCAGGAGGCGCCTCACCACCCCCACCAAGCCTGGCAACTGCGGGAGGCCATTTCTTTTAACTTCGAGAGATGAGTTTTTTGAAGTTTCTGCACTTTGACTTTGGGCCCCCTTTTTCAAAAGTCTGAAGCATGCTAGACTCCTAGACCAAGCTTGAAAACCCTACAGTGTTTGGCTTCTTCTTCTTCACGAAAGGGTTCAAGACTTCTGCCTAGAAACCTGTCTGGCACGCTCGCAGTAGAGGGGTCTCGTCCGCTGCATTTGGCTCCATCGAAGCCCGGGCTTCCTCTTCTGGTCTCGTTGACAGCATGCGGGTTTGAGCTTGATGGTGTTACGGATTTGGGGGTTTCGAGTTCAAGGCTGATTTGGGGTTGAGGATTGATTGCCTTGCATCGCCAAAAATTAATACGAATTACATGTGATGAATGCGACGACTTCTGTACCAGCTTCCGCTTCTCGCCAGTGTGGTGTTGGTTGGTAGTGGCGCGGGCGGTGGCGGCGCGGTTCATATCGTCATCGCCGCCGCCACCATCATCACCATCCTTATCATCATCTCTTTCCTCATGTCTTCCTTCTGCAGTACTGCTGCGACTGCACCTGCACCAGGATTGAAGGAGAGGCTTCAGCGTTATGGCTCCAAGAGCTCAGGTTTCTGGTTGCACAAACCTTTGCAGGTCCATTGCTTCAAACAGAAAGTGTCCCGAACTCAAAGAATTTAGTCTCTCGTCGAGCCCCAAACCTGGGGCAATATTACCGTCCTCCGGGAAATCTCTGAGGAGCTGATTGGCAATTTGTGCCGAAGCAGCTCCACAGGCCTGTGCCGGACATGATGATCTGGTGCCTACTGGTTTGGGAAGTCTTTTTTTTTGCAAGGGCTTAGGGTTTTTGAAATCAGCGGCGACTGACTCAAATGACATTAAAAGGCTTAGGACTTCGGCTATCGAGGCCTCGTGAGGCAATTCAGAGGCGAGCCACTCACAATCAGCCTCCAGCATCCACAAGAAACATCGACCCCTATACCCCGACACCCTAAGTCCTGAATCCTTGTGTGTTTTTGCATCCAGCCTGCCCCGAAGTATAACGCATAATACCCTCCTCTACTTGGGGCCCGACTCACTTCTGACCCAAAACATTGCCTCACTTGCGACCCTAAACCCTTAACCCTGAACCCTAAACCCCTAACCCTAAACCCCTAAACCCTAAACCCAAAAGCTACTTACTTATGACCCTCAAATCTCCCCAACTGAGGCCCCTGCCACACACAAGGCTTTAGGGCTTGCGGCTTCCGCTTTAGGCTTTGCGACCGGTTGAGGGTTCACGGCTGAGGGTGTAGGCTTGATGGCTTAGGATTTAGGGTCTAAGCCTTTTTTGTGCCTGGTGAAAGCAGATTTAAGCTTTCCGGGCAATAAAAATAGCATACCCGTGGTAATTAACATGTTGGCTGTGGTGATGATGGAAACGACGAGGATGAGGATGAGCACGAGGATGAGGATGATGATGATGATGATGACGATCGGCAGAGCGAGATACAGGGTCACAAGCGAGCAGTGCCGCGCTTTTTGGGTCACAGGCGAGTGGTGAACCGATCATCAAGGTCCCAAAAACTTCTAGAATATCACCCAAAAAGCCCTCTTGGAATTATTAGTGTGTCTAAACTCGGCTCTCATTTTTCTTGGAGCTGAAAATAGGCGCCTCGTACAGCGCCTCGGAAGCCACGGCCCGGACGGCGCTGGGAAAGCGGTCGGAGAGGAGCCGAACAATCCCGCCCTCGCCGAAGCCAGGGCTTGGGGACTGGGGGTCAGGTTTTTTTTCCCCTCCTACCTAGCAAGGACGAGACCGCATATAGGGTGTGGGTTTCGGCACTCACACTCGGACAGTCCGGGCGAGGCATGAGGTCTTGAGTCGGTTGAGTGAGGCAGTTCGGGAGATGGAGAAGGACAAACAAGCCAGGGGTTGGCGTCTGGAGTTCGGAAATTTGGGGTCTGGGAGGCTTCGGAGGATAAGGGTTTGCGGTGGACCGAGTTCAGGGTGCACACGCTGAGGGTCAAAACACTGATACTGAAACCGCTGGAACTTCGGAACTGACGATTGCTTTTTACGTAGCATAGCAGCGTGACCTGTGCTTCTGCTGCATGCATTTACTTAAAAGGCACCACTGCTCCACTGTTGATACATCCCGAAGCAGCAAATCCTGGTACGTTCGTGTCACACCGGCAACCAGCACCAGCAGCAGCAGTACGACGATGCGATGACTACTGCTGCTGCTACTTCTTGTCGCAGTGCTGCTGTTGCTTGTGTTTAAACCCTAAACCCCTAAACCCTAAACCTTGCAAAAAGCCAACATTTGCACCTGCCCAGACCTGGCGGCCTCAACCTGAGCTTTGACGTTGAGACACCGGCGCTTGCGGCGTTTGGGGCTCCAAAGCTTCGGGGTTCCGAGTTTTAGCTTGCCCTGGGCTCAAGGGTTTAGGCTTCTGGTGTTTCATGTCTCAGGCTGGACTGGAGGATTCGAGGTTTCGGGTTTGGAGTTGCCACGGGCTTCAAGGACTCGGCATTCAGAATTTCACGCTTGGTCTACTTGTACAAACCTGAATGCTCAAAAGAGGTTTGGTGGAATTGGTTCTATCTATGACTATAGGTAGATAGTTATAGTGGAGAACCCTCAACCTGGGTCCGGACTTCAAGGTCCAAGTGTTAAGTTGGGTGTCAAACTCTGCGAAAAAACTACGGCATGGAAACGTCATCATGATGTAAGGGCTTCAGGATTGGACTCTCGTAACCCGGAAGAAGCAAGCGAGGTTGGTCCGGTGCCACAAAAGCACCTTGGCCTAAGGTTCAAGGTTTGTTCTTTGCGATTCAGGGTTCGGGCTTCTGTTGTTACGTGAGAGCTGCTTAGTAAAGGTGCTAGAGGAATTGGGGCGTGTACGTCCATGTATGCATTCTTCCCGGTGGCTGCACGCAAACCCGCTTCAACGCAAGGACAAAACATTGCTTTTGCAAATGGTATCATGTTTCGTATAAAGCATCCATGAACCCTGAGCCCGCTGCATGACATTACCAGTGAAACATTCTTTCGCCGAACTTCCTGTGGACTCCTACTGGGTAGGGCCTGTAATACTTGGTAATCACCTGAATGTCCCTATCACTGACACGTGATGCTCCGTCCTGCGGTGCCACGGCGACTGTTGGACTGTCAGGGGATGGATTCGAGTTGAGATGTCATGGGCCCATGACAGCTACAGCGGCCTGAATATGTGGCACTGGAAGTATAGAACTTACGGCGACTTGCGGTACCACGAAAACCCTTTTTTGAACCCAGACCCTGCCAATCGGCTGGGAGGCAGGGGAAGCAATAACGAAAACCCAAGACTCCAAGACCCTAAACAGTTTCCTTGAACCCGGAAGTTTGGCTCCGGCAGTTTCGGCCAACGGCCAAGATGTGAGGAAACCAGCAGCCCTAAAGTCGGAGAACCTGTTCGTAAACGTCGACACACCTCCAAACCCCAAACATCTATACATAATATGTGTATATATATATATATACACATAACATATGTATATATATATATGTATGTATGTATATATATATACTTATTTATTTATTTATTCATTTAGCACTCGCACTCGACGGAGTCAGGCGAGGAACATGGTAACATATATATATACACACACACATCCACATCTACATGTTCATACACAATTGCATACATTACATATACATATACACAAACATATACAAAATATACACACACACATCGATAGAGGAAAATATACATACATACATACATACATACATACATACATACAAATATGCATATACATATACATGTACAAATACATATGTATATACATATACATATGTGTCACACACGTGCGTTTTTAGACATAGAAATAGATATAGATATAGATACAGATATAGATATAGGTATCGGTCCGATATCGATATCGGTATATGTATAGGTACAGGTATGGATATAGATATAGAAATTGATAGAGACAAATTTGGAAATCGACAAAAAAGAGATACTGATATACATATACATACACAGCACAAAGGTCTGTGCACGTGTGTACATATATACATGCATGCATACATACACCCGAAACCATTTGCCATGTAGGGGCCACATCGCGCCCAGCCGAGGATTCGGCCTCAGCCGGGAAGCGCTGGATCAGAAGCTCGGCGATGCCTCGGAAGATATGCACAGGGCTCCCGGCTCTTAAAGTTAAAGTGATGCAACTCCAAAAAAACACAAAATCCCAAGCACTACTAGCCGGTCCTAGCCACTGTTCCCATCTTCCAGCCCCAGCGAGGTTTAAGAATCAAGAGTTAACACACAAGGACAACATGGTTGCCCGCTCATTCCAAAGGTGCTGGTGTAGCCGCGGCGGCTGACATTGAAGAGGCAGTAGTCGATGGAAGGGCGAACGTCTCCCACAAAGTGCTGTGTCAAGTGCTCGACCACCTCGTACCTGATTGCCAGGATTCACTCTAATCGCCCCTGCTGCTGCAGTTGCTACCACTACCACAACCACGAGCTACGTACAAAAAATAGCCAAGTTACTCCTGCGAGGACGACGACGACGACGACGATGAGACCACAGCTGCCCTCACAGCTGCTTCTACTCTAATGGGCACGTCGCACGTTTCATAGCTAACCCGGCTTCTACAGAATTTGGCCTGCGGTGTTCAACTGCTGCTTCTCCCTGTAGGCTTCACATTCAAAGCGGCAAGCTTACAAAGCTGCATCCTTCACGTCTTTGTCGCGCGATGAGTTGGCTTTTTCGAGAAAAACTGGCGATCGTCGCCGGAGCCCTGATGCGTCGCACTAGTCCAGTGCATTTCGCACAGTGGGCAGCACTGTTCTCATCGAAATCGCTCCTCTCGCTTGCAAGCATGTCTTGGAATACTCGGACCAGGATACTCCGAGAAGTGGACTTCAGCTGCTGAACGGTTGAGCCAAGAGCCCCTGAACTTATATAAGCTCCAAGCTTCAAAATCGGAAGCGACGATCAAAGAAACTCAGAGCGGAAAGCCTGTACCCCTCATCCTGAAACCGTATAATCAGCCTAGCTAAACCCTAGAAATTCTAAACTGTAAACCCATAGAACCCTAGGGCCCGAAACCAACAATACAAGCCCAGATGCAAGTTCCGGCTGCAGGCCCACTGCAAAGGTGTCAGTTGTCTTTGGGCGGCTGGGCGTAGCAGCGCCTCCAAGTGTTTCAAGGCACATCTCTGTGGTTTCTGGTTGGGTGCAAGATTTCGTGCACAGCTGACATCGTCGTCGACCGTTGCAGCTACAGCATAGTAATGCTGTAGTGGTAGCAGCAGCAGCAGCAGCAGCAGCAGTAGAAGTAGCCAGCAGATGCAGGAGTAGGAAGTAGAAGTAGAAGTGGAAGCAGAAGTAGAAGTAGCAGTAGGAATAGGAGTAGGAGTAGGAGCAGTAGGAGCTAGTAGGAGAAGTGCAGAGGTTTTGTCACTCACTTGGCACGTCACTGACAGCACTGCGAGGTCTTGACTACCCACGAGATATCAGAGAGTTAGTCACACAAAGCAAACAAACAACCTAGTAGCAGAGGTGGTGGTGGTAGTAGTAGTAGTAGTAGCAGCAGTAGCGGTAGCAGTAGCAATAATTAAAATAATAATACTAGGTCGTTGTCGTCGTCGTGGTCACCGTAGTAAGTAGTAAGTAGTCGTCGTCGTGATCCTTGCCGTTATCGTGGTCACCGTCTTCATCATTATCGTTGTCCGCTATGGATATGACTAGCTCAATCACGATCACTGCTGCCCTTAAAAAATGTCAGCCTCCCGCACGCGCTCAGGCTTCTCGCGCAGGAGCTGCAAAGCCGTGTTGGACTTGCCTTTGTGGCAAGTTGGGGTTGAAGGCTTCGGGCTTGGGTACTTAGAGCTTCATGGCATTCATGAGCGACTCCAGCCCCTGTGTTGCGTTTGGGTGGCCTTGCTCTTTAAAACATCGTCTCTTCAAGGCTCTGCTGTGTGTTCTCCTCTGCGCTATTTTGCCAAGCTAGCTGACGCAAGGCTTATGGAGATACTGCTTTGACTCTTGTTCTCAAGTTACTCCTCTTAGAGGTTCGGGTTGGGGTTTGTGTCCCGTTCTTGACCCAAAACGCTTGACGGATCGATTCTGGCCCAAGACCGAAATCCTTCGATTTCAACCCCACGGAGCAATCCAAAGCCAATGGCCCTCATGCCTAATATGCTTCACCCAGGACTCCAAAGTTGCATACCCAACGAATGCAACAAGGGCCTGGTTTCGGGGCTTTGGCCGCTACTTCCCGGCAAAGTGGCCTCCACGGCCCCCAATGAACAGAAACAAACCCTGCACGAGGTACGGTTGAACCCTATGCCAAACCCTATCCACGACTTCAGCAGCATCAGCCTTCATGAAACCCCAAACTGAAAGCAATGCCGGGACACATACAAGCCAAGGGCATGCATGGCTAACAGTCGCGTATGTCTTCAAGGAATACTATGTGCAGGGCGAAAACTAAACACTGTGACTCTCTGTAGGGAGGTTTGCCACGTCCTCATCTACCTGGGTTTGATACACCCAGTCTTGAAACACCAACGAACACACAGCTCTAGTTTGCAGGTACGGTTCAAGTACTGTTAAGAGGATCTTCACCATGATCCATGCAGGCCTCCGGCCATGGTCATCATGGCGAAAAGCACACACTCCATGAAGTCCGAATCGATGCACATGTGCACACACACGTACACAGGAACAGTACGGGGAGTGTGAGTGAGAAAAGACTGCCAACACTGGGCCATACTGAATCGATCCAATAGCGAGCATCGGAGAAGATAAAGTCGGCAGACCCGCCCTCACGCCGCACGCCCGATCCGAAACCTATACGCCGTATATCACCGTATATCCTACGTTTAGGTTACAGTACGAATCCCCTCCAGGTTCAGATTGGAGCCTAGGCCGCCCAATGTACAGTCTGAACATCTCTGAACCCTACAGCCTAGACCTTCATCGGCCCAGGAGGATCCAAGATGCCATCTCGACAGGCGACCAGCAGCTCCTTCTGAACATAAGCCGGCAGTGCCAGAAACGTAAAATTCTTGTACCGCAAGGACCTTTAGCACACAAGTGGGAGACTCTTCTTAGCTTGACAGGTTCCCGGTGGCGTAGTCATGTTCGAGCCCTTTCTCGTACAACCACACATACATCAAACTCGCTCTCTACCTCTCTGCCTCTCTCTATTACAATAAAGTTCCGAGGTCCTCCGCAACCTGCACATCTTTGGCGGTATTGGCCACCCGCGTGGTAGTCGGTGCCGCGCGCCTTCGCTTGGAGTCCGTGGGTCTGCGCATCGGGGCTTCGGCTTCGCTTTTGGGTTCAGGATCTAAGGTTTTCACGGTTCTCGGTTTGGAACCGATACAGTACCTTAACCCTTGAGTTGCGCAACCTTCAACCGCTGCAAGCACCGTAAGCATGGTAAATTGCAACGGACGGCAAACTTATAAAAGCTGCACATGAAACATCTCGCAAGGCATCTTTTGGGGTGTGCAATTTAGCCTTGGGTGTGTTCGATGCCTGAGGGTTTGTTTAGTCCAGCGACCTCAACAGGCGGGATGAAAGTGCCGAGGGTCTCTTCAGTATACCAGGGCTCTTAAACTTGGCTTATCCCACCCCACCTTGAGGCTTTCATTTAGCGACCTCGAAAAGCCCCTTGACAGGAAATGCCAAGGCCCCCAACTTCAAAAGCCTCGCGCGAGCTTGCCTGCACCGTCGCACGCTCCATAAAGCTGCAGCTGCAAGGACCTGGACAGTCTGGGCAGAAGCGGCCGCGGTAGATGATGGTCTGCAGAGGTCATTGCCCTCGAGCCTTGAACCGAAGTTATGTAGACTCCCGAGTGCTGTGCCGAACCCGACCCCTGCCGAAACCTTTTTTTGCAACAGGCTTTCCACGTCGCCCTCTCAACCCTGAAGGCCTCAACATTCCCATGGCCTGCTCCGACCGCCACTGGAACCTCCACCAGCGACCGCTCCTATGAGGGCGTACGCAGCGGCACGGGGTCGACGGTGACAACGGCAGCTCCTCCTTGTGTGCGAAAAGGCTTAAGGTGTAGTATGTAAGGTCAAAAGGAATCGTTTAGCACGGACACGTCCGCGATTGACCTTGGTTGCAGCTACAGTGCTGGGACCTCAACAGCTACTGGCACTGACCGGCAACACCTATCTTTAGGAGAAGCCTGGACCCTGACATGTCTTCAATCCACCCTAGACCTGAACCCCTAAATAAAGCCCTAAACCTCCGAACAATACATCAGAAGCCTCCGAACCCTAAACCCTGAACAGTTTCATCGAACATCCCTAAACCCTATAAAACCTAAAGCCCAAAACTTTGAAGTCAAAGTCGAGCTTCAAGAGGCCGCTGCAGCGCATAGGTGCTCAACGCCGCCATGGGACACCACAGTGGAACAAAGGGTTTCGACTCTTTGAGGGCTTAGGGCTTAGTTTTTTTATGAACGCCCCTTTTCCGTCTCGCATGATCCGGGAAGCGGGCTTCTGCTTGGGGTTGGGAGGGCTAGAGTTTAGGGTTTAGGGACCACAGAGAAATGAGAGCTTAGGGATTGAGGCTTGTTTGGGCTTTCGCAAAGTAAAGGCTTAGCGTGCAGTTTGCAACGATAGAGTTTAGAGTTCAGGGTCTACAAAGTATGATGCGTGCCTGTGTAGAAAAGACGATTCTGTAGCTTTTTTCTGGAGGAATCGGGTCCAGCAGCCGACTGTAGGCCATATCGCTGTTCAAGCTAAGCTGAATAGAGGATGGGAACTTAAAGGGCAAATCAGGTAAGGAGTTTGTTCCAAACCTCTATATTCCACCAGCTAGCCTCTAACCTTCTTCGGCTAATTAAGACACGCTGTATCTATGCACATCCTGGGCCTCGGCAACACACTGTAACTTGCATGTTTGGCTAGAGCTGCGAGGGATGCCTAGGCACCGGCATATTTTGGGGCTTGCAGCTTATGTAAGGGCCAAGGTACTATACCATTATACTCTGTCCTATAAGCTAGAAACTTCACTAGCCCACCTTCTTCCCCTGTCGCACATCTTCGGTCGCTCAACTGCATCCCTTGCGTGGGCAGGTTTGGGGTTTAGACAAGCGACCTGAGTCGAGGGCCCTTTCATGTCGAGCTGCACGGATCAAGCTTACAGGCTCCAGCCGGGATTCGGGTTTATGTGTGTCAGTATCGTACAGGGGTTTCCGCACACCCAACACTTTTTTTGTGCTCTTAACCCGAAACCCCACAAGCCGTCACAGAATGGCCACACTCGCCGCTGAGCTACCGGAACCCAGAGTCTTGAACGTCCAACCCTTAAATCGAGACTCTCTCTTCGTAGATCTTTCTTAAACCTTGAGCCCTGACTTCAAAACCTGTTGCTTTCTAAACCCTGAACTTCGCCCTGGGCCCTGTGATTTCACAAAGCCCAAAGCAGCTGAGCCCTTGACCCTGTTGTTGCAACTGCCTCGCACCCCGCCCTCGATGCCCACCTCGCGTTTGCGTAAAGGCTTCGGGGTTCAGGGCTTATAGGTTAATAGGGGTAAAGGCTGCGGGTTTAAGGTTTTGTGCGGAATGGCGGTCCCCGTCTGCACCGAAGCGCAACTTCATTCGCCTATAGCAAAACACAACATCTGCAAGTAAATCGGGGAAACGTGCAGTCGATGTCAAGACCACTACCAAATAAGTCCGCACAGGCCTTTGGGCATAGTGTAGGACCGCGTAGGAGGCCTAGATAAAACCTTGAGGTACACTCTATTGAATTGTCGTACCACGCCGAACCCAGAATCTAAGCCATAAACATGGCCGTGGACGCAGGAAGCTTCACACTGTTTGTTGCCAGGACTTGAGCAAATCGAACGCCGAGGGGCCTCGCGAAGAGAAGTCTGCAAACTCCTGCCGGTGCGTGCTCCGTCATATTCAGAGAAGCTCTGTCAGAAAGGGTGTGTGCATTTGATTGCATTTGTTAGGCAGAGGACACTCCAGATGAATGATGTCCAGCAATGATCTGCTCCTTTTCGGCTGTTCTGGCAAGCATTGCACGCTGCATGGTTCGACTCACACAGATGACGCTCCGGCGTTGAGAGGCCAGGTGGCGGTTGTGATGGGAGCACCGGTGGGTATTGCTTTCAGTTTGACCCGCTGGCCGCTCTTGCCAGCCAAACGTCATATGTGATGACGATGATGTGCGGCTTCACCAAAACAAAGTCTGATGGTCACCAGCTATCAACTCGGCCTTTGAATCCAAGTGTCACATTTTAGGGTGTCGGCTTCAGGGCTTCAGGGTGTTGGCAGTTTTGGTGAATTTGCTGCGGGCTGTGCGCGCAGATTGTCGAGGTTGGGCCCGGCCAACGCAAGCCTGGACCCTTCCAATACACTGTCTATGACTCACAAATGAAGGGAGTGTGTTCCAAACTCTGAGGTCTGCACTCAGGGTTTAAAGAAGGGGAAGCCCTGTTCTAGCATAGCCAAAAGCCTTCCTCGCACCCCAAACCCCAAACCATCAACCCTGAACCCAAACCCGTGCATGCCACTCCTGGAGAACCTCGCTGAGCGGCTTCGAGTAGTTTGTCCTGGACGTTCGGGGCTAAGGGGTTTATGGTTTGTGGTTTTCTCTTTGCAGCGAGAGCTCCAGGCCTGCCCGCCAAGGACATGCGATGGGGTATAGGATTAACGATCTGGAGTCGGTTCACTTCTCGATTTCAGCACTCACACTCGGACAAGCCTAGGCGAGGATTCTGGTACGGCGAACGCTCATTGGCGAGACAACGGCACATTAGTCATAGGATTAACGATTTAGGGTGTTGGCTCCCGCTTGGCAGTGTCGCGCACGACTCCATATACCTGGATGGGTTTTAGTTGCCACCTACATTGCTGAACGAGGAGGCTTCGGGTTTGTTTGAACGGCACTTTTCCGAGCTCATCGTTGGCAAACAGTCCGACCCCAAACACTGCGGCAAGAGATCACTACGGTTAAAAAGTCCAACCAGATTCCTAGACCGTCAAGCAGACATTCTTCAAATCTCAATTCCCCGCCCCACAACGTCGACTCACCCCTCGGAAGGTCCAGCCGTTGCATTGCAAGCGCATGGCCAGATCTGACAAGGAGCCGTAGTCTTGGCCTTCGAGACAGCTTGGAGTTTCCTTAACATGTTTGAGGGGCAGGATCTGGGTTTGGTATTTAATTAGGTTCTTCAAGATTTGAAGGAAACACGGCGCCCATGCTTGCCTTCATGACGGTACTGCTGACAATGGTGACGGCGACAGTTGACGCGAGCGTGATGATGATGATAATGAGCGGTTCCCGCGACCCTGAATATGAATGATCATTTCGCCCATGCCAGCCGTGGTGTGCATGGTCAAGGCAATGATGGTGATGATGATGGTGATGCAGTTGATGAGGATGAGCATGAGGATGAGGAGGAGGAGAGGAGGAGGAGGAAGAGGCCAGGAGGAGGATGAGCATTCGGATGATGATGATAATGATGATGATGATGATGATGGCGATTGTGGCGGTGGTGGGGTGGTGGTGATGACGGTGATGCAAACAATCATGAGGAAATCGTGGAAGTCGCGGAACTACGGAAAGACATCAGCAAGATGGTACCTGCAACCCTGATAGTTTGGAGTTAGAAGACGCAAAACTGAAAACATACTTGACAGAACCATGAAGATCATCATGGTGGAAGAAGTGCAAAACGGTCGATAGGCCAACTATCATTACTACCAGCCCAAAAACCTTAAAAACTGTAGTAACAATGCGGGAGCTCTGAGCATCCGTCTGGGGCCGAGGCTGAAAAAGGAACCATCCACACCGCGAAACTTGCTGGAGCAATGGTTAAACCTGGCAGATTTGGACACAATTCCCACGCTATGCTTTGTTTAGCACTCGCGCTCGACGAGGTCAGGCGAGGTTTGTGGCGGTGTAACCAGGGCTCACCACGAGTCCATCCCAAGCTCGGTTTGAGCTCGATGACAACAGTGCAACGATGTACTTCCCGACATTCTGCATCTACTCTTCAAGACTCAGAGTGCTTTCACAGCTGGCCTCCCTGTGACATGCCAGCAATCAACCATCATGGCAGCATCATGCCCTTGGCGCCGTGTTACTGAGCTGACATCGCCTTTGCACCCACATAGGCAGTTTCGCCTACATCTGCACACCATCCATCGCACACGCCACCACGCCGCTGTCAGTCCGACTCACACGGGATTGAGGGCTTCAAACGCTCGGGCATCCCCAAGGTTTCCTGCAGTGCCCTGCAGCTCGGACGGCACTTCGCAAAGCACGACGAGGCCTTCAGCAAGATCCGTCTGAAGGCATCAGCTCTACAGCAGCATCGGTCCAACCCTTCAAGCAAACCTCATCAGGACCTTATCATGTCAGGCAGGGTCCTCAGGCCAGTTGCTCGGTTGACCACCGTCGCTGGACGGTCAGCCCAGAGCCACTACAGACCGCGAGTTACAGCACCACACCAAATATCCGCTGGTGTGTTCACCATCACGGGCTATCTCGGCATCCAGGTTACGACCAAAGCTCCAGCGGATCTGGGTTTGGCAGCTCTTTCGTGTCAAGCCGGGTGGCAGCTATTCCTCCAGTTGAGGGTCCGAATGTCTCAGACTTGGCAAAACCCCAACTACAAGTCTTGCGAGTCATTCTTCCAAAAGACATGACGCCGGCTTAGGAGAGCACTCGATGTAGCCAAACGACATCTCCCTCTGCTGGCAGGCCTCGTCCAGTCGCTTCGGGCTCGCAGCATCAGAGAACTCTCCACGCTAGACAGGTACGGTTTCGTGTCCTGGGTATGGGGTCTCACGCTTACCCAAAACTGTCACTTCTTACATCTTCTTACCATGAAAGACCCTCAGAAAAGCTTATGGTGCTTGTACACGCTGCACCCAACCCTACAGAATCCCATGCCCAAACCCGTGACCAATGCGCCCCAGCCTAGGGACCCTTGAGAGGGTCCCCTCCGGCGCCTCCATCAGGCCCAGAGCGACACGAGAGCTCCAAGTCGCATTGACCTGTTTTGCCCGGTGTTTGGAAGATCCGAGTCGGCTTTTATGGGACTTAAGTCTAAGGGCTTCCGAAATTGGGGTCTAGGGTTGTGCATCCGGAGGCTCTTTACTCTCGAGCTCAGCCGGATGGTATATAATATAAGGGGCTTAATAATTAGACTACGGTTCTGGGGGAACCCTTTATCAACTATTCAGACCTGTATATACATTAGCCGGATAACAAGCCCGTGTCTTAACCACGCGCTCTGCTGTGTGACAAGAAGAGTGATCGGGACGGGCGTCGGGGGAAACCAACTAGCTAGGGAATAGGCATGGCAAACAGGAAAGAAAACCAACTAGCATCGCCTAGTCAAGGTTCAAGACTCATTCAGAGCAGCTCGGGTTTCCAGTGGAGTGGCCGGCAGCAGTGACGTCAAAACCGGTGAACACCGAAGCTAACCCAGGCGCGCTTAGAAAAGAGTCGCTCGCGGCAGTCTTTCACTCCTCTCCCCTTCAAGGCTGACTTTCCGTCCTAGCACCAACTCCAGGTTTTGGGGCTTAAGGTCTGTGTGAACGGTCAAGGGAGCTAGCCAGTAAGCGGGGGCCATTACAAATAAGGCACGTGTTGTTAAGCTTACTTATAACCCCAAGCAGGGTACTTATAACATGACCTTAGTGCTAAAACTTCGGATGCTCCCATTAACTGAGCAGGGTGCGGGAACCTCTGAGCAGTAAATCCCCAAACCAGTGGACTCTAGGACCCAGCCGAGACACCCCAGCCATACTCATGGAGACATCCCGGAGCAATGCCACCTGATCACCAGAGAAAAGCGTCTAGCCATGAAATCCTGTGGGTAGTTCTTTATTTTCAGGACTTTCCTCAACGGGACCTTTTTTGACGATAGCAGGGAGGCCCACATCCATAACACTTTGATATTCTAGTCAGTGCCTGTGAGCCCTCAACGCTGAACCCAGAAGTCTGAATAAAGCATAAAGCATGCCTGCTTCAGCAGGTGGTGGGCTTCTGGGAGATTTAAGGCTGAAGGAAGAATACCAAGCCGAGACTGTAGAATAGCAAGCCCCCAAGGTGGTTGGCTTGAAAACTCCCGTAGCAACTGGGTCTGACAAAGGCTTCTTGCACGCGAGGCAGGTGGTCTGGGTAAGGGTGAAACGCAGGCGAGGTAAGCGGACTGCACAGGAGCAACTACTTTCAGCTACTGGAGGAACGGCTCGGCAGCGTTCAACAACCGGCTGTGGCACATTACGCTTCGCCTCAAGTGGAAATCAGGAATTCCTGAGGCCGGACCGCGTATTTTCGAATGATTGAACCGCTGCAACATGGGCCCCAGCACTTACGAAGAACCCGCAGCTTCTGCGTATCCTGCTGTGGGAGATGCACCTGCCACCCGCGGTGGGGTCGCAGCACGCAGCGCGTGCCCCTTGCGTACGAACTCGTGGCAGCGTCCCTCCAGTTCTTTGAACCTGAAGGGCTTTGGGCGCACAATGTAGGCGGCGGATTCATATGATTTCAAACTTCTCTGCTGGATTCATCTCATATATATATATATAAGCATGCATATGTGTGTATATGTATATATATATATATATCATAACTATTCGAGGACACCGCCATAAACCTTTTTAGCAATCTCCAAGAGTAAGGGACCCGTCATGGAGGCCCCCAAAGCCAAGGGGCTCGTCTGGGCAAGAGAGGCGAGCCACGATGCGCCGAGGTACCGGCTCTTGAGCCTTGCCAGACCACCATTTTCTTAAGCTCGCAGCCGCCGAAGGCTTCTCACTGCCTGATGCATCTCTTGGAGGGTTTCGGGCTTCTGGGCCTAGCACACTTTTTTTGAGAAGCCCATCCAGATTACTGCATGCTAGAATCGACTTGCAGACCCCTCCACGCTACTGTGCATCAGCGAGTTGCTCGGCGAACCCTCCGGCGGCGTCGCTTCCGGCTCAGCCAGCTCCAGGATCAGTTCCTTACCGCGCCGCTGAAACACACACTTTGTTGCCATGGGCGCGTACACCGAGGCTTGGATGTCAGATTCCACCAACTCTGGACCAGCATCCTCCGGCTTGGCTGTCGCCACCTTGGGGTCCGTGTAAAAGAGATGCAGATAGCCATGGATAGTTAGCACCAGCGTGGCGCCTTCGCGCCAGCCGCCACCTCCGAGGCCGAAGAGGCCACCGGGAGCCACCATTGCAGCGGGCACCAGCTGCAGCACAGCCCCTCCAGCACTGGGAATGTCGGGTACTTCGGGCAGCTGCACTTCCGGTGGCTTGGCTGGTGAAGGCATCATGTGCTCTTCTCCTGGAGAAGGTATATCGGCGGCTGACAACGCCCTGTAGGCCTCCACAAATGCTTGCCAGTAGAGGGCCTTCGTTGTTGGTAAGCATAACAAGAGCCGTACAAACATCACCATAACTTTCTTAATTTGTTGTCATAGGTTATGGCTAAGTTGGTTGGAGACCGGCGTAGGCTTTGGGGCTTCGACGAAGGATGGCTCTTCAACGCTCTTATAAGGACCGGCCCTAGTCAGCTTCGGGCGTGGGTGCTCGGAATGCTTCGTTGTCAGGCGGAAACCAAATCTTAGCTCTTCTTTGGAGATTGCCGACTGCGAAGAGCTGACAGCTTTCAGGGGTATGGCATCTCCGCATTTTGTGAAAACAGCATTTGGCGTTTGATTGTGCACGATGCTATGACTCAATCTTGAATGAAAGATGACCCGTGCTGAAACTACAGAACGAACCCACTCTCCAGTGATACACATGCAATGCGGCAAGTAAGCAGACATATCCCCCCTGATGCAGGGAGGCCACGCGCTCGGCTTCCAGGTCATGCAGCTTCGAAGCAGCGCCGAGGAGCAGCTCTTCGGTGGCCGCTTGCTCGGACAGATGCTTGCGTGCTTGTTCACGGTAGCGCACTTCACTGAGCCAGGAGTCGGGGGGGGCCTTGTCCTGCGCGATGGCGCGGCTGGTCTCTTCCACGCGCTGGTGATGGCTGAGCCACGCAGCTTCCGCCGCGGCATGCGCCTGATCCCAGCCACGGACAGCGCTGACCACCTGACCCTGCACATGGTCCGAGAGCGCCTGCTGACGCTTCCTCAAGTCGGAGCCTCCCGCCGGAGCTGCCCACTGGGCGGCTCGAGCTTTGAAGCTCGCAACCTTCGCCTGCTCGGCACTCAGGAGCCAAGAAGCAGGTCCACCGTCCGTGGCCTCCAATCGCACAGGCCTCCAATGACTCTCCACCTCAGCCAAAGCCTGAGCAGTTGCAGCTGCTGCTCCTTCAAGAACCTTCTTCTGGGTCTCCATGACCGAAAGCCAAGACTGTAAGGAAGTGCTTCCGCATTGAATCTGCAGCTGCTGACGGCACAGCTCATCTTCCGCCCATTTACGCCGCACTGCATGGGCCTTGCATCGTACAGCTTCCCATTCCGAAAGGAACAAGCAAGTTTCAGTTTCCATGGTGAACCTGCTGAGCCTGCGTCGACTGCGACGACCGGGCAAATTGCACAAGAAAGACCGAACCATGACAGGTCTTATGAAGCTGGCTACCAAAGAGTTTGATATGTTTCAGCTTTACTGTCCTGCATCAGCCGTTCGGATGGGAGGCGGCTGGGTCCGCGACCAAACCTCCTCTGTCCTTAGTTTGCGCAGGTAGGGCTCCATCGTGTCGCGACCTATTCAGTGCCTCATCCGGATCCATTGAGCCGAACCCCAATCTCTGGAGTTTGCAGTGTAATGTAGGGGCCTGAATAGCGACTCAGAAATAACTCATACTAATCCCAAGCCTTTTTGCAGAACGGGCTTTGGGATGCCGGTAAGCTGGACTCCCCAGTATAACGATCCGATAAACCCCCAAAAACCGCCTATATAACCCCGCGCCACTCGCCAGTCCAAGCCCCGCGCCCGCTTCAGCCGCTGCCTTGCACGCGGCCAGGACGCCGGGGAAGGACTGCCCACCTGAATGTCCGATTTATGTTCAGGGGTCAGGCATCATGAGATATGGCAATGCAAGAATGTATGGAGCCCTAGGGCAACACGCACAGAAACAAAATGGCACGGCAATGGGGTAGTCTAGCAAGATAAGATTGAAAGTCACACGCCACGGAAATTACACACAATCATGCAGAGGACTTGCGACATCATGAACAGATGTCAGAACAGCCTGGTAACAGCAGAACAAAAGCTTCATTCAGCTTCATGAGTCTGTAGACCGGTATCCAGGCAGTATAAGTCGAAAGCCACGCATGAAACACGAACACTGCCAACTGCAATAACAGCAGCAAGTGTACTGCCAGTGAGAGGTTGATATCGTGATGGATGGTTACAGGTATCATCAGCATCATACAAACTCAAACCGTAGCCGTAATGGCATCATCGGCGGTCGCCACAAGGCTGGCAACGGCAGTTATTGGTAGAAGGCTGTTCGGGTTCTCGTGACGTGTTGTAGAAAAAATCGTACTACCCTCCGCACCAATTGCAATTCATCACAGCAGCAAGGAGTGTGCTGAGTGTCCTGTCGCAGTATAGTACACCCAACGGTCCGCAATTGTTGTGAAAGTCATATTATCTAACTGTTAGTGTAGCTTCTGCAGAACAAGATAACTAAATCGAACTAACATTAGGTAGTTGGGGGCTTCGGTTTTCGGGCTTCACCCCCCCCCCCCCCCCCCCCATCCCTGCCGCTGAGTGTTTCGGGCCTAAGGGTTTTGCGTAGGGCTTATGTCGAGCTTCCGTCTTTTTTTGCGGGCTTGGGGATTAAGGTTCGGAAGCTTCTGCAAACGGTGCCTGGTTTGGTCTGAAATATCTGTGAGATGTGGCCAGGAAGGCTTGGCACTAGGACGACAAGGAGGTTCGGCAATCTTTTCCCTGCATGGCCATGGGCTGGACGCCCCTGGGAGAAGTGGCGCGCGCACACACATATATACCGAACAGATATACATCACACTGGAGGGAGAAAGTCGACCCAGTCGACTTTCTCCGAGCAAAGCTCAAAAATCAGACGAAAGCATGGCTCGGCAAGCCAGTGGCTCGGAGAATGGGCAGCAATGCCGCGCAATCAAAGACTCCTTGCTGGCAGCTATCGCAGCAGGGGGCTTTGGGGTCGGACGTTCGCGGTGTTGCCTTTGTGAAATGGACTCATCACTTGGAGCATGAGGTGAGGGCGCAGGGCTTCAAATTGCCCGAAGCATGTCAAGTGACACCCTTACACCTACTTCCAACCTTTTCCTCAAAAGTCTCCCAACAAAACTATACGCCCCCTAGACACAGAAAACTAACATTGCTGGCAACCCCCTGAAAATTGGGCTATGAAAAAAGGAAACATTCCAAAGGAGCACCCAGGAAGGCCAAGAGGCCGAGAGGTGCTGAGCCTTAGAGCGCATCGACGAGCCCGGCCGCTTCGAGGGCCTGCTGATTGAGGATCCTCCTCAAGGATAAGTCCTTGGTGGCCATCAATATACAGTTCTATCAGTTCCTTAATAGGTTGGGGTTTGGGATCCTCCAGATTAAGACTTAGGGGTTGCTGGAGGGTTTAGGATTTGTGCTTTAAGGGATCCTTGTCAATGTGAGGTGATGGACACTCTGAACCACTGTCGTCAGCCCCACCATCATCACAATTACACCACTGGTGCTACCGACTCTGCAACGCTATGAAAACCATGAAAGCGGTTTACTTGCATATCTAAACCTGTAATGCCCGGTGCATACAGCAGTGAACATAGCCGTAGCTGCCATGACCGTAGCATCAGAAAGGCTAACCCCTGGGCTGCGGAAAGCTACATACGGCATTACGAACAGAACGAAATAGCAGAGCCCTGATTGCGATGACTGCAACAGAAGCTGAGAGCAGAAAAGACAAGCCTCTCAAGCAGGCGAAGATGATACGATGTTCCACCCATTATGTGTGCGGAAACAATGACAGACAACGACAGCAAACGAACAAAGTCGCGGGTAATGATCCCAACAGGTCAGTGCAAGGATTTACGTTTCGGCTGTGGTACTTCAGCGATTACAACTCGCAGCCCGATGTCCTGAATCTGAGATTCAGGTTGCAGCCTGTCCTCAACTACAGGGGCCGAAATCCTGCGAACCTACTTCTCAGAACATGCCGTTCGAAAACCTCAAACCGAACATCTGAAACCCGAGACGCTGAAGTGGCAATTGAGACAAGGGTCGATACCATGCGAGGGAGCATACAAAGCCTCTGGGTCGTTGTAGCCCCATTCAACCTGGAGCCCACCAATGAGGTTGGCATCCACCTCGGGGGCTCAGGGGGTAGCCCATGGAACTTTCAAGTCTCTCGTGCAATTGTGTTTTGTCCAACCCGTGGGAGAGGAGCTGAAAGACTTATTCGGCTCTCGTTGAGCAACTAGGCTTAAGATACCGTGGGTTAACAATAAGCTCTCCTGTTGCGTCACCTTGAATTGGCAAAGCGGGTTCCTTCAGAAGCATCCACGGTCCCAGCCTAAAGCGAATCGGAAGTCTAGGGCGTACGAGGACTGAAAGCCTTCACAAGCCCTGAACTCCTAAACACGGACCCGTAAACGCGAAGCCTTAAACTCAAAACTCCAAAGCCTCCGACACTCTAGCTTCGACCCCACGCCTCCATGTGGATCTTCACGTCGTCGGTGTCGGCTTTTTCCCTGAACAGATGCAATGTCCATGGGAATGAGCTTTTTTGAAATCCGTGGGGCTTCCGCCTTAGGCCACAGACTCAAGTACCCTTCTTGTGCAAGGGGCAACCGTTAAGGCTAGTACACTGACTGCTTCAGTAGCCAAACCAGTATGAGTTGCAACGGCCATGCGCGGTCTGAATACCGTCAGCACGCGTTAGTACAAGTACCACCACTACCATGACTCTTCTCTCTTTCTGACTCCTTTTTTCCGCCAGGGCTAGGGACAAAGGGAGCAAGCCCCCTTTGCCT